GTGTATCTATTATAGGTTTTTGGTTTTTGGTTACCATGAAATTTATATAGATGCAAGATGTCTTGCATCTGTAACAGTCTGTTATTAGTCATTTATGTTTGAATGCATTCTAACAGCACTACATTTTTAACTCCCTTCCTCCATGTTTTATGTATATGATGTATTTTTTTAATGCCTTTTACTTAGTGATTCCCTTAACAAACTTTTAGAAGTAGTTGATTTTGCTACTTTTGTCTTTTAACCTTCCTACTAGCTTTTAAGTGACTGGTCTGCTCTCTTCACTGTTTGTTTCTCCCAGTGAAGTATTTTCATAATTTTTTTGCTTTTACTCAGGGTTTTTCTTTTTCTTAAAGAAGTTCCTTGAACATTTCTTGTGACATCTTTAGTGAACTTCTTTAGGTCTGGTGAACTCCTTTATCTGTGTTTATCTGAGAAGCCCTTTGTTTCTCAATTCTGAATGATAACCATGTTGGGTAGAGTATTTTTGATTGTATATCTCCCTCTTTCAGCACTTCCAATATATCATGGCACTCTCTTCTGGCCTGTAGAGATTCTGCTGAAAAAAATCAGCTGATAGTCTTATGGGGTTTCCCTGGTAGGCAACTTGACACTTCACTTTCACTGTTTTTAATATTATCTCTTTGTCTTCAATCTTTGACATTTTTATCATGATGTGTCTTGCTGCGGACCTCCTTGGGTTCATCTTACTTGAGGTGTTCTGTGGTTTCTGGAGCTGGATGTCTGTTTCTTTCCCTAAGTTAGGGAAGTTTTCAGCTATTATTTATTTAAATAAGTTTTCCACTCCTTTCTGTCCCTCTTCTTCTGGGACTTCTAATACTGCAAATATTAGAACATTTGATGTTGTCCCAGAACTCTTTTAACCTTATTTCCCTATTTCTTTTTATTCTTTTTTCTTTCTGCTTCTCAGCTTGAGTGCTTTCCATTACTCTGTCTTCCATTGCTGATCTGTTCTGCATCCTCTAGTCTGGTATTGATTCTCTCTAGTGTATATTTTATTTCATTTACTTTATTCTTCACCTCTGACTGGTTCTTTTTATATTTTTCTATCTCTTTGCTGAAATCGTCCTTGAGCTCATCCATTCTTTTCTGAAGTCTGGTGAGTATCTTCATAACCATTGCTTTGAACTCCTTATCAGGTAGATTGGTTAATGCTATTCCAGTTAGCCTTTTTTTCCCTGAAGTTTTGTCTTATTCTGTTGTTTGGAACATATCTCTTCATTTTGTTTGAATTTCTGTGGTTGATTCCATGAATTAATAGAATGGGCTACCTCTCTCAGTCTTCAATAATTGACTTTGTGTAGGAAGGTCTTTTTGTTAGACAGTGTGTTCCTGGTGGTTTTGGCTGGCTGGAGGTTGAGTGAGCATGAGATAGCTGTGTCCTGGTACTAGGGCTCCCAGGGTGTGGGCTGGGGGTCTTCAGTGTGCTTGCCAGCCAGGGCCACACAGGTAGGGTGGCCAGTTTCAAATGTGCACAGTCTGGGGAGCTCTCCAGTGGGCAGTGAGCTAGGCCCTCTCTGGTGGAGTAACTAGGGGTGGAGGGGCACTGTCCAGGGGTCTTCTGGGTGGGTGACAGCTGGAGTCATGCTAATGGGGCAACTGGGAGTGAATGGGCAAAGTCCAGGGGTCTCCTGGATTGGCATCTGGCTGGGGACATGCAAATGGGGCAGCTGGGGATGGAAGGGGCATGAACAGGGTGAATCTGTGTGAGTGGCAAGCTGGTAACACCTTGGTGGGACTGCTGGTCTCTAACAGATCTGTCGACTTGGCAAGGGCCCAGAGGCTACCTCCATCACATCTGGAGCTGTTGTGTCCACCCTGCCCCTGCTCTTGTCAGCAATGTTAATGTGCGTGGGGAATGTAAACAACGGTGCTCACCCTGCTCCTGTCAGCACTAGCAATGTGCTGGGGATGTGGCCATGTAAACAGTGCCACTCATCCTGCTCCAATCTGTGCTAGGAGAGTCTGGGGGTGGGGGTGAGGGGAAGAAAAACAATGATTCTTATCCTTTTTCCATTCATGTTAGCAATGCCTGGGGCAGAGAGTAAAACATGGTGTTTACTGTGCTCCCATTCACACTAGTGTGTCCAGGGTGAGTGTAAACAGTGGTGCTTACCCTGCTTCTGTCCACGTGAGCAGTGTCCAGGGGGACCACAAACAATGGCACTCACAAGCTCTTCTCTGGCGGAGAGTTCCAGCAGTTCCCCTGCTGTTTGGTGGTCAGGTTTAAACCCTCCAACTTTGCAGCTTTCTTTCGATGCCCCAGGGCAGGTGAGGCTAAGGCTCATTAATATCCCTCCCTGTGTGAAGTTGTAGTGGGGAGGGCTTCCTCCATCACTGTATCACTGTTTCTGCTGATATTTTTTTATGTGGTCTTTTTATCTCTTTTTGTTCAGAAGGTGTCCACTCAGGCCTCAATTTTTCCTTGGGAAGAATTGCTTTGTGTATAGGTGTAGATTCTGTGTGTACATGGGAAGGAGTGGGCTCAGGCTCTTTCTATGCTGCCTTCCAGGACCTGCCTCTTGTTACATTGTTTATCTGAGCTATCATTATATTGAAATAATATTGAACTGTGAGATACATAATATCTGAAGCAGCAAATTTTTGTTACTCATAGATAGATAAAGCATACAAAAATTAACACTTAGTCATTGAATAATTCTTTTAAAAAGTAAGTTTGTGTAATTTATAAATTGTATATCAAATTTATATGAACTAGTTTCGATAATGTTTTCTTTAACTATATTTCAGTAAATTCTCGATATAGAATTATTTTACTTCACCATTCCTTTATCCTTTAATCTAAGGTGAACCTTAGTTTGGCTTTCCTTAGCAAGGGACAGCTAATTAATTCTGAGTATATGATTTTTGTTTGTCAAATAAAATGTGATATTCTGGTTCCAGCTGCACAACTTGCAATACAATGGAATTATCATTAGGGTCTAGGGACATAGATTCTTTTCAAATCCAGGGACAATAGTGGCTTCTACTCAACTTCTCCAATACAGTTTAAACTTTCCACATTAAGAGAAATACATTTTTCCAAAGTAAGTAAGATACTCTTTTCATTTTATCCTGAAATGTTCAAACTTGCTCTACATTATGCTGAGAAATCTGAAATGATTGAGAACAGATTTGATTTAGGAATTTGATGGTCACTGTTATCTTTAATAAGAATAAGATTATATGGCAGTTGTGGGTATCATTGTATAAGATAAAAGTAAATTTTATCATTTCCAACAGAGATTAACAATGCTAATGAAGGGAATCTTTTGGAGGAACTAGAATTGTTACACAGTAGTTGCCTGGATTTATATAAAATTCTGTCATTCATTAAAAGGAGTTGTCATACCTCTCTATGCATATCTATAAATTAAAGGGATAAAATAGTTTCAATATAAGGGCACTATTGTCTTCAGAAATTGAATGTGAGGTGGTCTGATGCAGTCGCTGAGCTTGTAGGATTTGGATGTGCATAACCCTTTGCTCAATCTGGAGCACTCATTTACAAGCCTGTATTTTGCAAAAGTTGTTTAAATTCCATCTCTCATTTTATTCTCTCCATTTGCAGGAATGAAAGGAGTACTGAAATCATTGAGATAATGTGAGAAGCAAATAAAAATACAATTTTTAAAAAGCCCTTGTATAATTCTGGGTACAAACTAAAAATTGTCCAATAAATTTTAGTCATTCTTACTACAGCATGGTGAGTACCCTGTCACTAGAATTAATAAGGCACATAAAGTAGAGTTGCTCATCAGATTGTGCTGGAGGGTGAATCAAGGCAGAAATTATATAGATGGTTGTCCTTTAAAGTATATTCTAAATCTGAGATATTACATTTATATTAATGTAATGGGTAATAACTTTACAAAAGTAGAATTATGTGTTTAAAATTATGTCAGTTACATCAAGGGATGTAACTCATAGTTCTCCATAGTGTTTTATTTCCTGAATTCTCTATGTTTCATTAGCAAAGTTTTCTTATATCTTTCTGTGGGAATAAAGCAAGAGAAAGTGAATAATAAAGGGACATTTCCCTAATAAAATGACGGATCAAGAGTGAGGGATTGGAAACTTTTTCACATAAAATATTTATTATTCTAAAGGAGAGTTGTGCCAAAGGCTGACTCTGAGTCATTACTCAGTCTTTCAGCCCTCTGCATACTTTGATTTGGACAGCTGGCCTTATCACATTGTTAAGCTGAGTGCTATACAAAGGTACCTTAAACACTCTCCATTCTGTACATACAATGTCCTGTAAGCCCCTTTTCTGTTTATTCTGGAGGTGCCACTAAACTTGGGAGACAAGCCTGAAAAATCTTTTCACTGAGGTTAAGTTATTGACTAGCTTTCAATTCCCTTTAGCTGATCAGCCACCCTTACCTATAAGGAGGTACAGACTATACCTTCCAATCGACAGCTAAAATTCTGTCATCTCATCAGTTACCAAGGGATGTTGCTCCTTGATCTGTCCAGAAAATCACAGCATTTCCTGTATTGAAATACCTAAACGATGGCAGTAACTTCATTTCCACTGTGGGAGGTTAATTTCCCCAAACCCACAACACTAAATTTGGGGGCACAAAGAACCAGATTAAGTCTCTTGCCTTGAGATCACCTTCCCTCCACCCCCTCAACTCCTAAACACACTCACACACATTTGTACAACTCTGCCTTCCAAGGAGAGAGATAATGCTCCTCAGAGACTCAAACTTGTGTGCACACCACTGATCATCACAGAGCTGGCTCACAATAGGAGCACAATAAAATATTTCACATAAAACTGGATCAAATCTTTAAAGTACTAAATTAAAGCAATCATTTTAAATGCAGGAAATTCTAAATTTCACAAAAGCCCTTTCATATTGAATCTCTGACCAGCAACTGATGATGCTTCTCATGTTGGATGCTGATTGGCTCTCAGCACTGAGATTACCCAATCCAGAAACAAAGAATGAGTTCTTCGGTTGGTGTTATTAGGCTGTGGATGGAGGAGGGTCCTAGTCCCCACTGAGTGAGACTTGCCTGCTCCCTGCCCCTGTCCTCTCCTGTTCTCCAGCATGGTGCGTCTGTGGTTCCCCAGAGGCTCCTGGATGGCAGCTCTGGCTGTGATACTGATGGTGCCAAGCCCTCCCCTGGCATGGGCCAAGGACACCAGACGTAAGTACACACCTTGGGTTGTGAGCATTTATCATGTGGGGGTAGCAACAGGAATTAGCTTTGTGTCCGTGTCCAGGCACTGTTCCTTAGAAAACTGACATTGTCTTCAGTGACCACCCATATTTACCGTAGGAATCCACAGTTCTATCCCAAACCAAAGGAGCCCGCCTGCTGGTCCTCTCTAGGAGAGCTGCCTAAGAGGTCACCACATTTATAGGCCTTTTTTCTCAACTCTCCTGCAGTAAAACCTCTCCAGCCTTGCATTCCATTCCCTCAGGGTCTTGAGAAGATTTTATAAATAATGATGCTAAAATCATTCCTATCTAGTGGTTTCCTTTGTTGAGTTTTATCAGAAAAATGAAATTTCTCTGAAAATTTCATGGGAAATCAAAAGGAATTGGAAAGATCTCTCCTAGAAGGTCCTATATGATGGCCTCAACAGGATCTGTGATGTTGGGGCCTCTCCCTAATATGTGGGGATTTATCAAGAAGTCTCCCCCACTCTCTCCTTTCCTTCTGCATGAACCCCATTTGTTATAAGGCCTGTATTTCCATATCACTGGAGGGTCTCTGACAGAAGTTGGGGTTAGTTTTCTCTTTATTTTCCTGTGGAAAGCACCTTGGAGCTGAAGCAGACGTCCTTTGTTCTGGAATGATCCTGTAGATAAGGAGCTTCGAAGGGATGTTCTTTGATGCCTTAAAGAACTTAAAGCATCTTCTGAAAACCTAGCATAGTTAAGTGTCATTGTGAATCTATTTTGTTAGATTGTATATTTGTCAGTTTCTACACATCTCTTTCTCACAAAAAGAGAGTTAACTAGTACTGAGCAAGCTTATGAAATCGTATTTTTGTAAGTCAAAAATAGTGAAATATCATATGGTTCACACTGTATGTTCCCTGAGCAGAGAGCATGGAGGTTGTTTATATCCCATAGGGCTGAAAGCCGGTAAGTAAGCCAAGGGAAACCACGGGCCTTCTGGAATCTTAGCCCCACATTTCATAGGCTCATTCATCATGGCCTCTGTCTTCCTTAGTCAGCCAAGTTTGGTTACCTCTACTTCCAGCTCCTCCCTTTCTTTCCACAGCTGTGTCATCACCATTACTGAGAATCCCCAGAGTTTGCACAGACCCTCTGCACTATAGCAGGTCCATCTAATGTGATAAAAATGATATTTTCCCTCTCTCTTAAAATCACCTTTTCCTTACCTGTTAATGTTTTGCCTAACTTGTAAGAGAAGGGAAATTTGTCTGAACTTGTAACAGAAAGTGAAAGGGATAGAATGCATTGTCAGAATAAAATAGCGTTTGAGCTTACACCCCTTTTTGCTTTCCAGGATCTTCACACCGATCAATTCTTAGAACCCTGGGTTTATTCACTTAGACCAAAACTATTTTTTTCTGAGTAACTATTATATACTGGGCTCTGTTCTAGGTCCAGGGAATTCTGTTTGAATAAGGTAGCAAAGTGCCCTGCAATCAAAGTCATTAGGAATTTACCTAATAACAGAGGAGAAAGCCCGATAAACATTTAACAAAGAAATCTCAAAGCAGTAAGTGCTCTGCAAAAATATACATCAAGGTTGGGAGAGGTGAGATTTGGATTCACCTGACTTCACTCCAGGAGACCAGGGAGCCCTCCCTGGGAAATGACACTGAGTTGAGACATTCTTCTCATCAGGAGAAGCTAGTCAAGTGAAGACTAAGGGACAAGTTTCTACGGAAAGACAACCAAGGAAGGGCGAAGTGTGGGAGGATGCTTGCTGAGTTTAAGGTACAGAAAGAAGGTGCGAGTGGCTGACAGAATGGGTTGGGGAGCTCTCTCATGTGCCCCTAATGTCACCACTGCCATGTTTCCATCACTCAGGGAATGTGTATGCCCAATGATGTCAATTGTTCAGTTGTCAGTGTTCAGTATTTCTTTGATGTCTCTATCCTCTAACTTATTTAAAGTTTTATCTGATAAGCTTTTGCATATATTGAAGTTTGATGCAATTTTCTTCTTACTAATGACATGATAGTAATGATGTCAGATCTTCATCTGCTCATTCATTTGCAAACATGAACATAGCCCAAAGTCTATGCTAAACATTTGATTTATTAATTATTAGTTTTATAATAAGCGCTAGCAACTGACTAGTTTCACAAAGCCATGCATTCATAGGTCTCTGTAAACTGCAGCAAGAATAGAATTTAAAAATTGTTTGCTCTTCAGGGTGCCAAAAATTCCTTAGTCATAAGATTTCAACACATATGTCATACCAGGGTGAATTAAAAGCCAAAAACCTTTTCTTTTTACAAGAAGTTCAGACTGCAATATGTGGAGCAATTTTATAGTGGCAATAACACTAATTTAGAGTTACTCACAGTCCAGATCAGCTGCAAGGAACTTAAGCCGCTGATACAAAGTGGTTATTGAACTAGTTAGAAAATATGTATCTTGTTATCCATGTTTTCTTTTCTTTAATATAATGCACAATTAATGTCCTTACATCTTTCAAACCACTTGGATTTTGGCTTATTCCAGTTCCTGCCCATTTTGTTTTGGGTCAGCCTGCAGCTGTAGCACACCCTAGAGCAGTCATCTTGTGGTTAGAATTCACAATAGCTTTTGATGCTTTCTAATTAGGCTGTGAATGTTGTTTAGGAAACTGTTGCCAATGCAGAGCTATTTTTCCAGCAAAATTAATTTTTTCAGAACCAGTGTTTTTATTAGGCAGAATTTTTAATATATTCTCAGCTGCTTTTTTGCCACAGATTTTTCAGGTAGGTATACTGGTGGTGCTCACCCAGGGACAGTTTTGCGACCCCACCCCTCCACCAGGGGACATTTGGCAATGTCTGGAGCTATATTTGGTGTCACAACTGGCAGCTTCTTCTCACAAGTGTGTTAAGGCCAGGGATGCTGGAAGATATCTTACAATGTACAGAATAGTCTTTCCCACAATGAAGAATTATCTCATCCAAAATGTCAACAGTGCTGAGGTTGAAAACACTAGTTTGCACTGCACTGTTTCTAAATATTCAAGACTCACAGTTTATTCACACCTTCCAGTTCAGTTCTTTGTGGATTTTACCTTATTTAATTACAAAAAACATAATAGGCTAGACCATTGCATAAATTCAACACTTTCTTGTTGAATCCACTCAATCAATGTAAGCTCAAGATCTTCATTTTTTATTTTTTTGCCTTATGCAATGCTTTCCAATATTTCATGAGTTGGTGGTCGTTGCCACTTCCGCTAACTTTCAACAACTTGATTTTACAAGTCATAAATTGTGACTGCCACAGATATTTTCAATACAAGTTTCAAACTTTTATAGTACTTTTAAATTCTATTGGTAGTGTCAGATACTCCCATTTATTTCACTCATTTTTAACCACAATTATATTTTTTTACCTCTTTTTGAAATTTCTCAGTTCAACAAAGACTAAAAACATTAGAATGATATATGTGTAAGTTGTATAAAATATACCATATGTATGAATATATATACATATATATTACCTATATATGTATGTATACAGAAGCACAACGTGTCTGATTGATCAGCGACAGCTCTGACCTGTCTGATCCTTTACCTCATCAGATCAGATTTGCCAAATGGGTTTGGCATCAAAATTTTTAAAAAGATCTGGTTTTCTGAGATTTCTGGATTTGGAAATTCTGATAAGAGATTGTGGAACTATATTAGGATAATGGTTTTAATCTCCTTAAAACTTTTCAGTAGTTTCCTACTACATTTAGTACAAATTCAAAATCCTAGCATCATACACAGGCTTCTAAGCACCATGTGATTCTCCATCTAATCTTTTCCCCTCCTTCCTCTCAGAGTCAGACTTCTGTGAATTGTTTTCTTTGGTTTCTTGAGGAAGTTCATCAATTTCTTCAAGCTTTTGCACGTTGTATTTTTACTTGAAATGTGCCACCTTTTCCCCTCAGACCACTCTAGCTCACATCCACTTAATCTTTCATGTCACACCTTAAATATCACTCATAGAAACCACTTTTATTTTGCCCTAATGCCATGAGGATCATCCTGTTACTCTCTGTTCTGGGATTCCACACTTTTCTTTTAAAGTTCCTCACTCCCACATAAATTCTTACTGGTTGGCTCTCGTCCATCATCTTCACTAATTTTAGGCCCCTCCATCGGAGGGGACATGTCCGCCTTCCCTTCGTGGATCCCCAGGGCAGCAGGGGCCGGGCACAAGGTCAGCCCTAAGCAAGCGTTTACAGGATGAGGAGGTGGGACGCGTGTGGGGGATCTGACAAGAGCTGGGGGTGGAGAGGAGAGAGGGGAGTGTCTTCGGGGGTTGTGGGGGAGGTTCCAGAAGGAGGCGGCCGGGGTGCAGATCCCGCCCGACTCAGGCCTGGAGCTCTGCCGCCGAGCCTGGAGGCCCAGGTGACTGGAAAGGCTCCGGACCAGAGGGGTCTCGTCGCCCCGGCGGCCTCCCTCCGCCCGCGGATGGAAGATGCCCTCGGGGTGGAGGGAGCTGGGAGTCGGGTGGAGCCTGTGAGGGGGTCCCCTTACCCCACTTTGCCTGGCGCCCGGCACTGGTGGCGTGGCCGTCAGTCTCTTCCCGGCAGCCCGCAGGGTGACCGGATCTCTCTGTCCCCGCAGCACATTTCTTGTTGCAGTTTAAGCCCGAGTGTCGTTTCACCAACGGGACGGAGCGGGTGCAGCTTGTGGTCAGACACATCTATAACGGCGAGGAGTACGTGCGCTTCGACAGCGACGTGGGGCAGTACCGGGCGGTGACCGAGCTGGGGCGGCCGAACGCCGAGTACTGGAACGGGCAGGAGGACGTCATGGAGCAGAGGCGGGCCGAAGTGGACACGGTGTGCAGACACAACTACGGGGTCGTGGAGAGCTTCACGGTGCAGCGGCGAGGTGAGCGCCCGTGTGCCGCGTGTGCGTGTGACGGAGAGGGGGCCGTCCTGGGTGTGTAGGATTGTGAGTGACTGTAGGTGAGGAGGTCATTGTGAGAGCGTGTTGCTGAGGAGAGTGTGTGATTTTTTTTGACATGTACTTAACATACAATATTATATTGGTTCCAGTGTACAGCATACTGACTCAACAATTATATATATTATGAAATGCTCACCACGATAAGTGTAGTTACCACGTCATCATACAAAGATATTATAATATTATTGACTTTATTCCCTATGCTGTTTCATCCCCCTAATTTATTTTATAATTAAAGCATTATACCCTTCCCCTGTTTTGCCCATCCCCCAACCTTCTTCCCTATGGCAACTGCCAATCTGTTTCTTCTGCTTATGAGTCTATTTTTGTTTTTTTCTTTAGATTCCACATATAAGTGAAATGATATCATATTTGTCTTTCTGTCTGGTTAGCGTAAAACTCTCCAGGTCCACCCATGTTGTCACAATGGCAAGATTTCATCCCTTTTTATGGATGAATAATATTCCATTGTATATATGGTATTCATCTAGCAATAGACATGAAGGTTGCTTCCATATCCTGTCTGTTGTAAATAATACCACAGTAAACATAAGGGTGTATACATCTTTTTGAATTAGGGAATTTCTTTATCTAAATTCCTGGAAGTGAAATTACTGGGCTGTGTGGTATTTCTGTTTGGCATTTTGAAAAACCTTCCAAAGTGGCTGTACCAATTTACATCCCCATCAACAGTGTAGGAAGGTTTCCTTTTCTCTGCATCCTCGCCAACTCTTGTTATTTACTATCTTTTTTATCACAGCCACTCTGACTAGTGTGAAGTGACATTTCATTGTGGTTTTGATTTGTATTTCCCTGATGATTAGTGATGTTGAATGACTTTTCATGTGTCTATTGGCCATCCTCGTGTCTTCTTTGAAAAAATATCTACTCACGTTCTCTGTCCATTTTTAAATAGACTATTTGTTTTTTTTGTTGTTGAGTTGTATGAGTTCTTTGTTTTTCTTATTTTAGCCGCTTGTCAGATATGTCATGTGCAAATATTTTATCCCATTCAACAGGTTGCTTTTTAGTTTTCTTAATAGCTTCCTTTGCTTCTTATATCATACATTAATTGACCATGTAAGTGTGGGTTTCTTCCTGGGCTGTCCAGTCTGTGTGTCTATTTCTGTGCCAGCGCCATCCTGTTTTGGTTAGTGTGGCTGTGTGGTAGAGTTGAAATCAGAGAATGTGATACTCCCAGCTTTCTTCTTCCTTCTCAAGATTGCTTTGGCTATTCAGGGTCTTTTTGGTGCCACAGAAATTTTTGGATTATTTGCTCCAGTTCTGTGAAAATTGCCACTGGTTTTTTGATAAGGACTGCTTTGAATCCACGGATTACTTTGGGTGGTATTGACCATGCGTCATTTTGGGGAGGGTGAGTGATTTTGTCTGTGTCATTGTGGGGAGAGTGTGAGGGGTGGAATGTGAGGTCAGGGGACAAAGAGAATGTGGGAGTGGTGGGCGATGGGCCTGGCTCTGAGAAGACATGAAAGAGAGCAGGTGAGGGAGGGGCGCAGGAGGGAGGGTGGCAGGCGTCCTTGGTGGTGGCTGTGTGCAAGGTGGGGGGAGGAGAGGGGACTGGAAATGGAGGAGATACTGACAGGGCCTGATGGTCAGAGATGTGGGGAGGGGATGTACAGGGTCTCTGGTGGGAGTGAACATTTAGGGATAGGAGATGAGGAATGCAAAAGTTTGGGAGAAAGTGAGGAGGATGGTCATTGTTCTGGGCACTTCCTGTTCTGAGCCTGAAACTCCTGAAATAAGGGTGCCTGTGTCTGTGCACACAAGCATTTCATTGAAAAAAAGGATCTGACTAATTATTGAGGGGTGAGGGAGGAACTCCGAGGCATCTCTGATCTTTCTGAGACTCCTTTTAGGCCTAAATTTCTTGTTTTTTTTCTCCCAAATGTATATATTTTTATATAGTTGAATGATTGTGAAGCCAGGTTCCTGAATTATAATCTTGTTGGTTACATACAATTATAGTTGTAACAATTTACCTCACATTCCCTTCTGTTAGCTCTTTCTTCCAATATTTCAAAATACTCAGTTGAAAATTTATATTTTATTTTAAATTTGTATTTCTTTGATAGTGAATGTTCTTGAACATTTTTCACATATTCATTGGTTAATTATTGTTACTGCTTTAAGAACCATCTATTGTTTATTATCACAGGGTCCTGCTGTTTTTCTCAGTAAATTTGTGGGTTCACTAAGGTAACACTTTTCTGACATTTGATTCAGCATTTTCTCCAGATTATGGCTTATATTTTGATTCAGTTCACTATTTTCCATGTTAAGATATAGACATTTTATTTAATGAAATATGCTGCAAAATTTTTAGTAACAATTTACCATCAACATTAAGTCGATCAACTTGTGGTATTGTAAAAGTGTTTCTTTCCCCTAGGTTTTTTTTATTTTAATTGCATTTATTGAACCTGATTGTGTCAGGATTATCTCAAGCACTGGGTACACATATTAATGAGTCTCAGACCCTGTACTGTCTCATATGTCAACTTAAAAAGAGACAAAATTATAAATGATAACAATTCCTGTCATAGATATGCCTGCTTTGGAAGGATAGAAATTGATCAGCTGAGTTTAATTTTAGGAATTCAAAAAAATTGACTGACTTGCCTTGCTCCTTACTCTCTCCTTCAGGACTCAGGCTTTTCTTGAGATTCAATTCATAGAAAATCACCCTTGTCTATTCCTGCTTCCCAGGGTGGAACCACTCTGTGGCATTCTCAGGTGTGAGTGTAGCCTTCCCAGGATCATACTGTACCTCCTCATCCACCCCAAGCTGTTCCCCATTTTAGCCACACTGCTTTGAGTCATATTTTCTTTCCAAACAAGGATAATAAGCAGCTAACATATATTGAAGGCTAAAATCCGATTACTGCTTTATATACTTTAGCATCCCTTCAAGTGTCCCTAAGAATAAGTTAGCATTATTATCCCTTTTAATAGCTGAGAAAGCTGAGACACAAAGGAATGTAAAAATTCTGTCAGGATCAATCAGTAAGAGGCAGAACCTGGATCTGGACCCAGGCAGACTGGCTACAGGAATTAAGCTTTTAATTAATACACCCTGTGTCTGGCAAAGATTTGTAAACACTTGAATTCAACAATGAATAACCGTTTCCCTCTGAGAAAAATCCCATCATTTACCTCAGCATCTCTTAAATCTAATGGGCCCACGCTGTAAGGATTAAATTCCAGGCTCATGACACTGACTCCTGCTGGGCCACATGGACAGGTTTGAGCGAGGCCTGCCGGAGACTGCAGTCGGGGACGGGAGACTGGTGGCGGAAAGGCGGCACCCCGGGAGCCCTCCTCCGTCTTCCGCGCTTATTTCCTCTCCCTTTTCTCTTCTAGTTGAGCCCATGGTGACTGTGTATCCTGCCAAGACCCAGCCCCTGCTGCACCACAACCTCCTGGTCTGCTCTGTGAATGGTTTCTATCCAGGCAACATTGAAGTCAGGTGGCTCCGGAATGGGCAGGAAGAGGAGGCTGGGGTGGTCTCCACAGGCCTCATGCATAATGGAGACTGGACCTTCCAGACACTGGTGATGCTGGAAACAGTTCCTCGGAGTGGAGAGGTCTACACCTGCCGAGTGGAGCACCCAAGCCGGCCGAGCCCTCTCACAGTGGAGTGGAGTGAGAAGCTGTCTTGATTTCATAAATTCCCCACCTGCCAAATGGGGGTCTTTGTTTTTCCCTGAGTGTCAGGTTTCTCCTCTCCCCACACCGTACTTTTATTTTATTCCATGATCTCCTCTCAGAATTACAGGTCACTGGGGAAAGCCCTGTGATAATTTGATAAAGACCTATACCTCCGGGGAAGAGAAAAGAGGTTGTCATAGTTTTGAGTTTTTCTGTAAGATCACAGGCAAGGGCCCCTTTGCTCTGGGCCCCATTCCCAGCCTTGGGCCAGGCTTGTGCTTCTGCACCATTGCTCTGCATTGTGCCTTATGATCTGAGAAGGGGCGCATCCTCTACGATGCAGGGCCCTTCCTGACATGAGGGAGTCCAGTCTCCACTGCCTTTTATTAGCTCCATCGTCCTAGACAAGCTGCTTGACCTCATGGAATCCCAGGCTCCTCGCCCATCAGATGCTGAAGCAGTGGCCTTATGTCAGGGCGGGGATATATTAAGGGTTCGATACCTGAACCTTATAGTTACTCGGTGTGATTTTTAATTCTCTTTTCAAGAAATGGCTGGTTTTTCTAGATCTTCCAGTCAGTCTTCTCCCTCCATCCTCAAAGCTCTGATCTCAGGATCTCAATTAGAGAAGCTGGATTTGGGGTAAAATCACTAACACTAGCTTCTCCCCTCAGGGGCACAGTCTGAGTCTGCAAAGAGCAAGATGCTGAGTGGAATTGGGGGCTTCGTTCTGGGTCTACTCTTCCTTGGGGCAGGGCTGTTCATCCACCTCAGGAATCAGAAAGGTGAGGAGCCTGTTGGTAGCTGAGACCCCACACAGTTTTCTAGGGGAAGAAATATGGCTTTGCTCAAAGAAATATGTCATTTCTTTGTACATCAGTGGTCCTGTATGAAGGCTTTCTTTGCACAATTGACCTCATTTTGCTAAAAACCCAGCAGCAACAATACATGGTTACTATACTGAAGCATAAGAGGTTATGGCCTGTAAAGATAAACAAAGGTTAACATACCTGGATATCTTGGGTTGAGGTCCTGGAGCAAATGAAGGAAGAGCTACTAAAGCTAATGAAATTCTTGGGCCACATGCTCTCAGTTTTTGTTGTCCCCCCTGCCCTGGCTTCATGTGATATGTGTTGTGCTCTTAGAGAAATCAGTGAAGGTGGTCTGGGTCTGGGGACATTGTGTTGTGGACCCACTTGCCTCTATTTCTTTTAATGATATCTTTTAATTATATCTCTTCCCTTCTCTTTCCCAGGACACTCTGGACTTCAGCCGACAGGTAATACTCTTCAATCCCCTTTCAGAAATATAATCAGTTTCCCTAGATCAGATGGTAGAGGTGACCACAGGAGACAGAATTAATGGCAAAGACTGTGGATCTAACTCCTGCTCAGCCCTGTTACACTAAAGCTTTTTATCTCCAGTCAATAAAAGACCTGTGCTCTAAAGGAGCATGGGCTCAAGGAGACTTGGGAGTTTTTTCTTGTCTTATTTGAATGCTTTAATGTGGGGCAGGACCCTGTGAGAGGGAAAAGGAAGCTGCTTGTAGAGTCGGGCCTGGAAACAGCAGTCTCCTCTGTGCTGTGCAGGACTGCTGAGCTGAAGTGGTGAAGGTGACCCTCGAAGAACAACCTTCTGTTCCAGCTTCTTCACAGCGTGGAAAGTTTCCTGCTCGGTTCTTATTTCACAAAGAGAGTGCTCTCTCAGGATCTGGTTTGCTCCTGTTCAGTGACCCTGCAGAAAGTGTTCCTCCCTGATGGCTTCCTCAGCCCCTGCCCTTGACCTGGAAATCCCCAATATGATCGCGATTATCTTCATTCTTTCCCGGTGGAAAGAATGGCCTCCCTTGCACTGGAACTATCCCTCTCCCTATTTCCTTATAGAGTTTTTCTCAAATAAACATGAAGTGAAAAATCATCTGCTTCATACAACTTCAAGGAAAAGAAATAGAAAAAAAAAGAAAGAAAGAAAGAGTGGATTCCATCACAATAAAATAATGGTATTGATACTCCTGAATTTCGGTCTCATGTGGATCTGGAAGGTTTCCTCATTTCCTTCCCTGTTTTTTTATCCCCTGGGTTTTCTGCATTCTGTAATTAGGTATGTTTTCCTGAGTGAGGAGAAAGCCCATCTGTAATGAACCTCTGCCATATGGTCTCCGACATCTCTGTGTTCTCAGAGCCAAACATACAAGTCCCTTTGCACTGTGGGATTCAGAAAGGGGACAGCAAACGTAAGAAATGCAAGTAACCTATGAGGATATGTACCCTCAAAATTTTTATAATTGGGTTCTTTTGTCTGGTTTTCTCTAATCTTTTAAAACAAAGTACCTAACCTTGGGTACTTAAACTCCCCTTTTATTGGACCAATTATGGGCTTCAACACTTCAGTTATTTTTTTGTTTCTCTGATAAAAATCAGTGGCAAACTGACTCTTGGCCTGGGATACTCCTTTCTCCATTGAAAGGTCTCAGACCAATCAGATAAAAAATAATTTTAATGGAAAAAAATGCATTTGTGAGGACCTCTGGCTATGTGACAAACTTACTCTTACAGGAGAAAACTGTATGGATCTTACCTTAGCAGAAATCAGAGACAGTGCTGGGAAACAAAGGGAGATATATGAAAACACTGATGAACATCCAAACAGTGAAATACTCTGAAGCTGGCAGAAAAATAAAAAGAATACCTGCTGTTAGAAAAAGCATAAAACCTAAATGTGATTTATTCCCACCAGGAGGTTTAAACATTTTAACAGTAAGGTATTAACAAAGGGCCACATGGTGGAAAATATGCCAGGAAGCTGCTCAGGCTAAGGGTGGGGGTGGGGGTGGGGAATTGGTAAGGGCCTGGCTATACCTGTTTGAGTTTTTTTAAACCTACCAATGAAATTAAGACAAATGTAAGAGAAGGCCCAATGTGGATATAATTGGCTTAGGCGACACCTGAGAAAGAATGTGAACCCTGTAGTACTCAGCCAGTGAGGAACCAGGGGAGGGACTCGTGTACTAGGGAATAAATTACTTGGTGCCAACAGCCTCAGGTGTGCCTGCCCACCAGACACCTGATCTTACAAGGCCCTCATTAAAGCCTCCCTCCACTGTACTCTTTGTCTCCATGTCCACTTACTGAGTTTGGACCAGTGAGTGTGTTTCTCACACTGCTATGGAATTATGTCCAAAATGCATGTGGAGTAAAGTATAGGGGAGTTTGTACACTATACAACATTTTGTTTAATAAGATAGAGAAAGAGAATAGGAATATATAGCTATACCCATTCATTATCTATTTATCTATCATCTACCAATCTAGTTACTTATATTTGTAAGTAGAAACAATTAAAAGATTTTAAAAAATGATTTCCTAAGGGACAGTAAGAGAGAATAGACTGAAAGGGACAAACACTGAAGCTGGAACTGAGTATCTCTTATTTAATAGTTTCACCTTCAGAAATATTCAAATACTTAAGGAAAAAATCTAAATAAAAATTTAATAAGACAGTACATAAAAGTCAAAACCAAAGTATAATGACTGAAACAAATGACAAAAAGTGTATGATGGGTGTGGATAAAATTGCAATATTTCCAGAATCTCTCCCCTGGCCTTAGTTCATCTCCATATCAACAGGGGTTTCCAAGGGGTGGAGAGAAGTAATTCATCTCCATATCAATAGGTGGTTAAAAGGGGGAGTGAGGGTATATCTGGACCAGAGAGGTTGGGTGGAGTCCCTTTTTGCAGCTGGGTTGTGAGAGACAACCAGTGAGCAGAAGTGGACGACTGCTTGTAGGCAATTAACGGGTTTCTACCACTTTATTTCTCCCTTTGACTGATTTCAGTTTCACAGGTACTTTGTCTGTGCTGGGAAAATATCTGCCCCCCCCAGAGTTACAATGGGAAACAATCTAGACAAGTAACTCAAACTTTTTTGACTCTTTCATAAACCCCATGGAACTATCATTGTAAATCAGTATGTGAAAGGGTATCTCGCCGCAACACTCCTTACCCAGGACGGCTCAGGAGACACTGGCCCATGCAAGAGATTTTATTATCTGAAGGAGAAAGTGGCTGCCCCAGAGGGGGGTGGGGAGAGAGAGAGAGAGAGAGAGAGGGAGAGAGAGCAGGGAGAGCAGGGGAACAGAGAGACAGAGACAAAGAGAAAGAGACGGCAGCAGCGTGGTGCAGAGCGTTTTGCCTTTTATTATGGTGGATCCGCTTGGCCTGTTGCCTTGGGAGAGGGTCGGGATGTTTAGAGATAAGGCGGGGTAAGCCGAGGCAAGCCCCAGGCAGGCCCAGGCATAATTCTCACTGGCTTATGTGCTTGGGACCATGGGGCAAATGGAGGATAAATTACAGTTTTCTTACATTCCTCCCTTTTCTGTTTTGTAAGTGGTAGAGGATTTGGGAAGGGGTGAAAGTTAATTTTCAAAAAGTGCTTCCTGCTGATTAGGGGCGATGAAGTTCATTTTTTTTTTTCAATAAAATAAATTGGCAAGAATGAACTTTTTTTTTTACTTTTTCTTATTTTTTATTTTGGTATCATTACAATCACATGAAGAACATTATGTTTACTAGGCACGCCCTTCACCAAGTCCCCCCCACATACCCCTTCACAGTCACTGTCCATCTGCATAGTAAGATGCTGTAAAATCACTACCTGTCTTCTCTGTGTTGAACAGCCCTCCCCGTGCCACACACACACTATACATGCTAATCATAATGCCCCCTTTCTTTTTCCCCACCCTTATACCTCCCTTCCCACCCATCCTCCCCAGTCCTTTTACTTTTGGTAACTGTTAGTCCATTATTGGGTTCTGTGCTTCTGCTGCCATTTTGTTCCTTCAGTTTTCCTTTTTCTTATACTCTACATATGAGTGAAATCCTTTGGTACTTGTCTTTCTCTGCCTGGCTTATTTCACTGAGCATAATACCATCTAGCTCCATCCATGTTGTTGCAAATGGTAGTATTTGTTTTTTTCTTATGGCTGAGTAATATTCCATTGTGTATATGTACCACATCTTCTTTATCCATTCACCTACTGATGGACATTTAGGTTGCTTCCATATCTTGGTTATTGTAAATAGTGTAGTGATAAACATAGGGGTGCATCTGTCTTTTTCAAACTGGAGGGCTGCATTCTTAGGGTAAATTCCTAGAAGTGGAATTCCTGGGTCAAATGGTATTTCTATTATGAGCTTTTTGAGGAACCTCCATACTGCTTTCCACAATGGTTGAACTAATTTACATTCCCACCAGCAGTGTAGGAGGGTTCCCCTTTC